GGCATAACAAGGAGAAATGGGCACAAGCTGTTGGAGAGGAGGTATAGATTGAACATCCGCAAAAACTACTTCACCGTTAGGGCGGCTAGGAGCTGGAACCAACTTCCAAGGGAAGTGGTGCTGGCCCCTACCCTGGGGGTCTTTAAGAAGAGGCTGGATGCCCACCTAGCTGGACTCGTTTGAGTCCCATTTCTCTTTTTGGGGTTTTTGTTGTTCTCCCGCCCTGGCGGGGGGTCGGGCTAGAGGATCTGCTAGGTCCCTTCCGACCCTTAATCTATGAATCTATAATCTATGGCTTAGGTGGGGCTGCCAAGGGCCTTTACCTCTGCCTTGAGGAGCTTGCTGGCCTGGGAGCAGGAGAGCTGGCTCTCAGGACAACACGGTGCCAAGGCGCTGCTCACCTGGAACAGGACCGCTGCCGGTGTTAGCAAGGTGCTAGCCCCCGCAATCACACCAGCCTCGGCCCAGGCACCTCCTGTGCTCCAGGACTCTGCTCCCTGCCCCCAGTGCACACCAGCAAGCCGCCAAGGCTGGCACCCATCGTGGCCCCTGCAGCTGCTGCGCTGATGAACCCCAAGTCACCTCCATGTGCCCAGTGCCCATTCAGGAAGCTGTGTGGATGCCAGTTGGCTGCAAGGGGCAGAAGGGAAGGCCAGAGACCCCTCCCTGTGCAGATCCTTGGCAGGGGCTGGCTTCCATCATCTCCCCGCAGCTGAAGCGTAGCTAACGTTAGGACTCGCTGACACCGTGCATCATGGAAGCCACAGCACTGCTGCTAGCACAGCTGTGGGGCATGCCAAGGATATACTTGCTATGACTGGCCTGGGTGCAAGGATGTTGAGGCAGAGGAGGATCCTGAGGAGGGCCTGGTGCTGCTGCCTGCCTGAGGGCCTCACGGGCCAGGAAGGGCCCACTGTGCTGGTGCTGTGCAGACTCATGGTGACGAGCTTGTACCTCCTCCACCTGGCCCTTCAGCCCCCTTGCACTGCATGGCATCACGGGCAGTCTGCCCAGAAAGCCCATGAGGAGCAGGCTCCATCTGCCTGACACCTGCACTACCCCTCTCCAGGTAGCATCATCCTCTGGGCTCCAGGGGTTCTTGTCTCACACTCCTGTGCCAGGGGCAGCCTGGCTGCTCACCCTTCCCCTGACCTCCACCAGGCTCAGCACCCCCGTGCCAGCTGGAGAGCTTGGCTGAAGCTGGCTGCACCCCACGACGGGCACCTGGACAGCTGGCCAGCACACGGGAGCCAAGGCGTGTGCGATTACTGCTCTGCCACCAGCTGATGGAATCCAGTGAGAATTCTAATATTAATTAAAAGCTAATTGATTAGCAAAACATATTTACTGAAGACTGTCACCCAGCTGTCAACATCCAATAAATACATTAATAATTAATTTGCATATAATTAACATAAATTACTAACATCTAAATTAAATCTGTGTTGGAGACTGTGTTGCGAGCACAACATGTGGCTCCTTCCAAGCCCTGTCACGTGTGCAGCCCATGTTGGCTGTCGAGGGAACTGCTCTAGGCTGTGGGAGCAGCCTGTGCCCAACTTGGGCCATGCCCACGTCCAGAGCCAGCCTGCAGCATGGGCACATGGGCAGCTCAATGGCGACCCAGGCACCCTTGTGCCAAGTGCCAGGGATGGAAATGGCCTCTGCAAGTGCTTTGAGCACCCACGGACTTGAGAGACACAATGATGCTGTTATTGACTGGGAGCCCTGAGACTGGCACCCAGGTCAGCACGTTCAAGGTAACTGCTGGGAACATCCTGCAAACCGCTTGCCTGGGAGGTTGGGATTTCCAGTCTTCCCTGCCCCAGAGACCAACCTCATTATTAGAAGGTTTCATGGGCGATTCCCTGCCCGTGCCCAGGAGGGAACCAGCAGCTCAACCCTGGGGCTGGCTGCCCCGCTCCAGCAGGGGCCCTGACCAGCCAAGCTCAGGGCAGCCCCTTCCCCAGGCCACTGGCTGGGCTAAGCCTGACAGGGTGGCAAGTCCAAGCAGGCCCAGAGCCTGCAGCTGTGCAGAGGAGAGGAGCCATTTGCTTGCCCCTGAGCCCAGGGACAGACCGCTGAACAGCACTCCCAGCCTGTGCTGCCATGCCACTTGGCTGCAAGGATGCAGGATGTCCAGGGGACCACAAGACCACAAAGCAGCCACCCCAAGACTGCCTAAGAAGATGGAGCAAACATGGGTGGCTGCCTCAGAGAGGACTGACAAGACGGGCAAAGGGTCTGGAGATGGCAGCCAGGCTTGCTTGGCCCGTCCAGTCCTACAGAACAAGGACGCAGGAGCAGCATGTTCAGAGCTGGGCACTGGCACAGCTGACACGCAGCTGGCCAGTGGGACTCGCCACTCCATCGTGTCCTCAGCCCCACAGCCGCCCGGGTGCACGACAGAACAGCTGTGGCACCGCGTAGTGGAACCATGCAGGATGCAGCGTGGCGCGGTGCTCTGGGAACAAGGGTGCAAAGCACCTTCCCATTCAGCACATGCCACCACGGCATCTGCCCTTGTCCCCTCAGCTGATTGGGTTGTGTCCAAGTGTCTCCCCAGGCTGCGTCAGGGGCATGACTGCAGCCTGAACAGGAGGGAGGCAACTGCCCCTCAGGGTGAGCAGGGTGCAACCAGGTGACCAGCGCAGGAGGGGAGACCTAGGAGACCAGAGAGGACCCCCAGCTAGGAGCAGCCCAGGACCTGGCCTGAACCTTGCCTAGTTAGACTGGCTGCCAGAGGCTGTGGCCAGCTCAGCATTGTCCTGCCAGAGGACAGAAGGGCAGGGGGAGATGCCGCACACCTACTTGGTACTTGCAACAACAGAGCAGCAACCTCTCCCCTGAAAACAGGGGAATGAGCCATCACAGCAGCTGTTTGTGCCCAAAGAAACAGACACAGGGAGCCACAGGGCAGGGCTGCAGCACCTCTGAGGCTCATGGCATAGTCAGACAAAGGACTCTGCCCTGCTACGGACAGCCCCGCGATCAGAAAGCTCCTCACCCTCTTACCAGGCTGGGACCACTGCTCCCCTTCCCCATACAGATGCAGGCAGCCATTTGCTTGCAGCTGGAAAGAGGGCAACACGTTTTGGGCGAGTGTCCCCCACCCCTCCTCTCGTTTAAGTGGAATCAGTTGTGCCATTTCTGCTTTGCTTTTCAAAAGCAATTACTTTCATGTCATCTCTACAGGCATTTGCAGGGAGCAAGCGAGGCTTGATTATCCATCCCCCACCCTGTCCTGTAGCTTCAGCAGCGGTGGCGAGGTATTAAATTAAATGAGGTGTCTATAGAGCAGCGATGGTTTGGGTCAGAGACGCTCTGGAACGCTGTGCACTGCTCTGCGCCCGCGTATGTAAATGGATGTATTAAAACCACTGATGTCAACCTGCAACACTCATCTCCTCTGCTCTTGGGTGATCAAAGCTGATTGCTGAGGCAATTACTGCAAAGAAAAAGAGAATCAGGGCCTCCTGCTCATCCCTCAGCAGCCAGAGTTTAATTGCTTGGTGTAGCTGAAGCAGTGGCTCCTGCTTCCCCATGCATGGGTGCACCTGGGCACGCTTGCGCGCACAATGGATGATTTTGGGAAGGGGCAGTGAGAAGGGCCCTGAACAGGGGAAGACCCCAACATGGACAGTACCAGAGCATTACAGTGACTCAAACTGCTGCAGTAGGCCAGTGCTAGACAGTGCTGCGGCACCTGGGCTGCCCCTAGATCCCTGTTGTGGGCTGCCAGGTGTGCAAACATGATTCACAAAGATAAACCCACAGGTTTTGAACAGGAATCGAGTGCTGAAAGCCTTCTGACCTGCCACAGCCCAAACTCTCCATGACACAAGACTTGCTGTATTATTGTTTTGTAGTCAGCAGTAGAGTGAAAGCTCCGAGCTGGCATTTTCTGAGAGGGCCGAGTCTAACCAGGGGACCCTTTGGCTGAAGACGCGGAGAACCGCTGGCCAAGACTGATGGTGCTGGGGACAGCTCCGGGCTGCGGCCTGGCTGCCCCTTACAGCGCCTCACCCTCTTCCAGACGGGAGCAGTGAAATCCCCATGTCACTGCGGCCAAACTCAGAGCAGGGTGTCCTCCCGCTCAGTATCCCGCAGGTGTTGCATGGGCTTCACACCCACCTCTGCGCAGCGGCAGCCCTCTGTGCCCTGCGTCCCCTTCGCCTCTGGTTTAAGCAGCAGGAAGGGCTGGGGACAAGGCTCTGCTCCCCAGGGGATGCCCCACACAAGGCAAACCCAGACCTTTTTTATCACCTTTTTCTGGTCTCCACATGCACACCCTCCCTGCGGGGGCTCACATTGCATCCCCCAAGCAAGCGAGCTGAGCTGAGCTGAACTGAGATGCCATGAGGACAGGCCCTGCTCCATCTGGCGAAGGTAGAAGACATACCTTGGGTACAGATATGGGGCAAAGCATGCAGGCCCCAGAGCAGCGGGAGCAAGGGCAGCCTAGGGACTGTGCACAGTATCCTGCCAATGCCTCTGGAAATCGCAAGCCAGCCCCAAAGACTCTGAGCGTGACAGGATGAAGCACACTGGAGTCCCTCCATTTCCCTCCTGGGTTCTGAGCCTTTCCAAATCACCTTTTCAAGCTTTTCTGCACAGCCTGGCAAGCTAAAGCCGACTGGCGGCACGTGAAGGCCGGTAGTGATGCAGCTGCGGGACATGCAGCACGTATCGCGAGAGCCCACCCTCCCTGCAGCATGGGGTGGGCCTTGCCAGCGGCTCGCCCTGGCTCCGCATGGATCCAAATTTCAGCCCAAGGGTGTGATGTGTTGTACAAGCTGCCTGCCTCTCCCTGGCTTGCTGGGAGCGCTCAGAGCCCCTCCCCCAGCTGCGCGCTGCTGTGCTGGTTTCATTCAATTCAACACTTGAGGGAACTGCAGATGAAATGTCTCTGAATCTAAATTGCCAGCGATAGATCTCACAGCCTATTCTGCTCTCCCCCCGCCGGCTCCCCTCAGACAGGACTCTCGCGCCCACTGCCTCTGGCTCTGCCTCGCTCAGGGTCTGTGGCACAAAGGAAACAACAGAACAAGCAGCCCCGTGGATTGCTCCTGCCGCCCCCACCTGCCCAGGTAGCGTGGAGGGGTCCGAGCAAGCCTGCGGGGTGTCCACATGGGGTAGGCACTGGCCTGGGGAGGTGGGAGCAGGAGGCTGCAGACCCTGGCAAAGGAGAGGAGGGCCCTGACTTCACACAGCTGCACGCAGCCAGCCCCCATTGCTGGGGAGGGCATGAACAACGCTGAGCACAGCCTGCCCTCCACCGCCTCCCAGCTCATTGCGGAGCTGACGGACTCCAAGTCCTACACTGCGTACCAGCCAGGGGGTAGGGGCCGTGCCACGCTGGCCACTGGGACCTTTGAACTCCACCTGCCTCATCCCAGTTCTCCCCTCTGCCCACATCTTCTGACCCCATCAGACCCTCCCTTGGGGATGCCTCGGGATGTGCCTGTGGTCCAAAGCACGTGGCAGTTTCTGAGAATGGAAGGGGGGCTGTGAACCACCGCTCTCCCACACCGTTACCGAGAGTAGGACTGGGGCTGTGGGCTGCAGGGGCAAGCAGCACAGCGTGACTGCCGCCTCCATCCCTCTGCCCACCTGCCCCAGGCCCTGTGCATGGCCTTGGCCGTAGGGAGACAGAGGCAAGGACCTTCGAATGGCAGCTCGTTCTGCTGGAGCAGTCTCTGCTGGACCTTTGATTAAACCTCCTAATTTCTACCCAAGCCTCTCTCTTTCCGCAGGGCAAGTTCTTGACCTGCGTGCACTGAAAAGTGGTCAAAGGGAGAATAACAAGGGGAGGGGAGGGGAAGGGCAGCAGCTGGAGACAGACGCAAAGGAGCTAGCAGGCAGGAGAGCGGCCGTGCAGATTCCTGCAGCAGCCGCCCTGCCACTCGCCTGCCCCCAAGCCCTGCCTCATCACAGGGCCTGGGCTGCGCAGGCCTGCCCACTGCCCGTCTCCAGGCTGCTCAGGCCTTTTAGACAGCAGCCGTGGCTCAGCTCTTCAGCACCAGGGTGGGGATCAGGCTGGCTAAGTGAGCGCCTGTGGTCTTGTGCAAGCCTGACACCTGTGTTGTGACATCAGCTCACCTGTGCAGGTCGTGCCGGCACGGTCACAGTGACCTCTGGCACCAGGAGTGGGCACTGCAGAGGGCCCAGGGGCCCCAGAGGGGCAGGAGCATGGGGAGACATGCTTGGGTGCCCACGTGGTGCCATGCAGGGACACTGGACGCATGATCAGGACAGCGTCTTCCCGTGTCCCTCAAATACACCAATGCAGCAAGCAGGCTGGACTCTGGGCTCGTCCCTCACCTGCCGCATCACCTGGCCCTACGATTTCACTCGCATCAATGGGCTTTTCCCTGACCTACACCACATACCGGGCAGACTGCATGCACTGGGTCATGAGAAGGTTAATGCCACCCCAAGGTGCAGAAATCCCCTCCCCAGCAGGGAGATGCCAAAATCTGAGGATAGGGCCTGAACCCTCTGGCCTCACTGGCAGTGACCAGGTTTCTATCAGAGTCGAGGCATGCACATGGCTTCTCTGCTATCTGCCTGGCGTGCATAGGGGAGGCAGCTGCCAGACAGGGCCCTACACACTTCCTCAGAAGAACACCTGTCTGTGGGAGTCTGGCACCCAGCAGCATGGGACCAGGGGCCCTGCTTAGGATGGCTGCCCAGGCAGGCCCTATATGGAGCCAGGGATTTGCACCTGAGTGCACAGGGAGGGACTGACTGCACCACCTCTGAATGGCTCAGCCTCTGCAAGGATGCTGCATGCTCTGGTGGAGTGACGAGGATGGCATGCCACATGAACCATGCCTGGCGCATCTGGCGGGCCCTAGCAGCAGGCTGGCTTGTGGGGGCCAAGCCTCATGCTGGAAGACAGGAACTGCAAGTTCCTGCTCCCCACATCACCGACCACAGCCTTGCACCAGCATTACTTAGCCATGTGCTGCACCCTGCCAGGCAGGTAGACATCCTCACTGCCAGGGAACAGAGGCCCAGCCAGGTCTGAGTGACATGTGTCAGGTAATGCAGTCACCATTGACAATGTCAACCAGAGTCGCCCTCCTGAAGAGATTCTCTGCCATGGGCACCTCAGATACAAGCAGTTGCATGCCAGCCTCCTGCTGCTCACAGTGCCTGCCAGGGACAAGCCACACAGCCAACAGCCCCAGCTGGCACAGACCGCTGGCAAGCATGGTGCAAGAAGGCCAGGGAAGGGGGCACTTCTGCACATGTAGCTGCTGGCCGCAGAGAAGGAAGGGGTAAGCTGCAGTCCCTGCAACGCCTGGTATTCCACTTCCATGCCCGGCTCCATGGAGCGGGGACAGAAGCCCAGCAGAACCAGTGACAGCAACAGCCGCGAAACGGAGGGAGCGTGTGAAGGGCCGCACTACAGCTCACACGGGCCGTGGAGGGCACTTACCATCTGCTGGAGGGACTGGATCTTGGTCTCCAACAGGTGCTTCGCTTGTATTTCGCTTGCTGCCTCCAAGTCCTTCAGGGAAATTTCCTGGTGAAGGCCCGTGATGATCTGCTGCAGCTCCTGGATCTTGGCTTCTTTCTCCAGAACCTTTGAGAGAGAAAGCTGAGGTGTGATGCCCTGGAGCAGGAGGGGCTGGCAGGCAAGTGCAGAGTGCAGCTTTACCCACAGCAGGGGTCTTACGCGCTGCAGTCTGACGACCGGAGCTGTCCCCCAGGATCTAAGCTTCGTCAGAACGATGCCGCCAGCCCCACAACTCTCGGAAAACTTGGCAAGGGCACATCAAGAATAAGCTGCTGCAAAATCATCTCTGGAGTTTACAGACAACCTGAAGCAGGCAGCTGCCAGGTGTGGCCTGCCCCATTCAACTCCACAGGGGTTACTCCAGGACATTAAAGGCACTGAGTCACAAATCAGCAATGCTGATAATTCAGAGTTGATGCTCACAGAGAGCTACCCAGCGAATGCGTTAGCTCCATGACCCTAAATGCCAAGCATGAAACTCTCAGATTCCCGTTGCCCACCACTGGCAGCTTCTGCAACAGTCCCCCATGTGATGAGTGCACCCTAGTCAGTACAGACTGATCGCTGCCAGCTAGACAGGGTAGCAGGATAAATTGTCCCATCTCTGCTCCTGTCTCCCCTATCTAAACCCTGGCTTTGCAGCATGTCTGGCACTTCAGTGAGTTGGGCTCTGGCAGCCAAGGGAGAAGCAGGGGAGAACTGCCCCACCAGAAAATGCCCTTAGCCACGGGGGGAGGGAGCTGGTGCAGCACCAGGCAGCCCCCAGCAGTGGACACGGCCAATGCCATTCCTTGGAGAACATCCACAGCTCCAACGTAGCCAGACCCTGCCCTGCCACATGCTTCCAGCATGAGAGCGTCACATGCCCCAGGACATGTGGCCAAGCGAGTGTTAACATCAGTGCTTGCAGGAAAGGGAGAAGTGGATGCATGAGCACAGCTGAGCCCGCCACAGAAACAGAGCCCTTACAGCTGACAAGAAGCAAAGCTGCAGCTTGCAGTTCTTGCCAATTCTTCCTGAACAACTGGAGATGAAGCTAAGACTGAACTGTGTCCAGTTGTGGACCCCCCACTACAGAAAGGATGCGGTCACATAGGAGAGAGTTCAGCGGAGGGCAATAAAAATGTTTGGGGCCTGGGCCACAGGACTTGTGAGGAGAGGCTGAGGGAACTGTGTGTATTTAGTTTAGAGAAGAGAAGACTGAGGGGGATTGAAGAGCAGCCTTCAACTCCCTGCAGAGGGGCTGCAAAGAGGAAGGAGCTGGACTGTTCTCTGTGAGGGCAGATGACAGGACAAGAAGCAATGGGCTCAAGCTGCAGCAAGGGAAGTTGAGGTTAGGTATTAGGAAAAACTCTCTCACGAGGAGGGTTGTAAAGCACTGGAACAGGCTACCCAGAGAGGTGGTGGGATCTCCATCCTTGGAGGTTTTGAGGACCTGGGTAGACAAAGCCTTGGCTGGGATGATCTAGTTGGGGCTGGTCCTGCTTTGAGCAGGGGGTCGGACTAGATGTGACCCCTAAGGTCCTTCCAACCCTCATTTTCTATGATACATGATAGGACTCGGGCCAAGCTTCAGTGATGGTCTCTGCTCCCTTGCTACCCCTACTTCCGGCCTGCACAGATTGCGCCTTGCCTGTTCACACCTGTGCAGAAGGCTGCTGTCACGATCAGTTTACCAGGCCTGTACTGTTACCATGTGCACCCCTCGCTCCCTCATCTTTCAAGGCTCTCCGTGGCCCATGCCTACCACATCTGTCATCTCTCCTCCAACACTGAAATCGAGTCCTGCCCCTGCCTGGCCTGACCCCATCTCCTTGTTTCCTGTACTCCTTCTCCATATCCACCTTAGATCAGAAGTGCTTTGGGGCAGAGATGGTGCTTACTGGATGTGGTCCTGGCCCATGATGGTGACAAGCCACCCAATCTTCTCTTTACCAGAACAAGGGGAGCAGGACACCTCAGGGCCATTCAGTAAGGACAGAAACACTCAGAAACAATGCAGCTGCTTGTGAAGCCTGTGCAGATTACACTGTGCCCCCTCTCCCATCACCGCAAACGGACTCTGCATGCACAAGCCAGACTGACCCTGGTGAGGTGCAATGAAAACTAAACCCATCCCTGAAGAGTAGAGGCTGTCCTGGCCACAAGCACTGGAAGAAGGCAGCCCAGCTCGGGCTGTGCTTGTCATGTTCACAGACGGTCGTGACGCGCACAAATTGCACCTCTGCTGCACAGCCAGGCAGCCACGATCCTGTCTGCTCCATTGACTTGCCGCGTGACCGCGGGCAAATCGTTCTATAACCATGTGCCTCAATCACCCAGCTGAAAAATTGGGTAACAAGCAGGAACTCCACTGAAGAACCTCAAAGAAAATTGTTACCGCATCTATCTTGAGATTTCCTGGGGAAATCGGCTCCCGTCTCCTCTCTCAGGAAGGATTTCAGACTCAGGTGCGAGAGACGGTGCAAAGAGAGGATCTGATGCACTCCTGGGCGGGCCGCCCTGGCAGTTTACAGGGAAGCCTGTAAAGGGTTGATTATGTTTCCTAGAAAGAGGGAAGCAGACGGCAGGAAACAACAGGTGCTGGATGTGGTGTTTGGGGGCTGATACCAGTGGGGTCATGCTTTGCTCTGGGGCACTGGGATCTCCCCATACCTCAGGGCAAGGAAGCAGATGGCACGTATACCCACTGCAGGCACGGGCGTCTTCCCCAGCCTGCGCTGCACAGGCAAGGCAGAGTCTGAGCTCTGCCTCTGCCTGGGCTTCCGCTCTCACCAGGGAACCCGAATGCACCGCAGCGTCTCCTTAGACCGCTGGCGCCATCTCCCAGAAAGCCCTGCCCCATGCCCCACGCTGAAGGGTGTGGGGAGCTGCCGCACCTGGCTGCCAGTCTGCTGCGCCCTGCTTGGAAGCCTGACCGTTTCCCAGAGGAAGGATTCATTACCTCGAGGCTTGCATGCTGTGGGACCCTGTGACCACAGTAACAGAAAGCTAGCCACACAGCCACAGGCTGCAAGCATGGCAGCGCTGTCGGGAGCCGGGCAGAGCTGCACCAGGGTCAGGGGGTTGTTCTGCCAGAGTCAGGCATCAGAGCCCGAGCAGGGCCGGCGTGGCGGGGGGCACACCTCGCTGCACCTGAGAGCACGACTGTGCTGCAAGCCCCAAGGCTGTCAGTCTCCGGGCAGCGGTGGTGGCGGCACAGGCCTCGTGTCTGACACACAAAGGCCTGCTTTGTGCCAGGCTGCTTCTGGGAGGTGTTGTAGGCGGGAGAGCCCTGCCCCAGCGCTTGGGCTGCGTGCTGGCTTGAAAGAACCAGCAGTGAGGGCATGGCTCCGAGGCACAGCCAGCGCCCCCAGACCCCTCGCCCGTCGCCACTGATGGGAGGCTTGGCGGGGAGAGCAGAAACTATCACGCAGATAAAGCGAGAAGGGAGGAGGAAAACCTGAACCTCGCTCTGCAAATGCAACCGCTTTGTCAAAATAAGAGTCGTGGAGAAACTCTCCTGCCATACACCTCCCCATTCTGGGAACTGTTCAAGCAGAGACCGTTCCTATTAGCTGCAAAGTCTGCATGCAGGAGGGAGAGACTCTGGCATAATATCTGCACAACAGCAGCTCCATGCAAACACCATCCCTGTAATGGGAAATATTAATGATGTAAAGCAGCAAGGTCACACGATGTGTCCAGGCAGCCCTTAGAAAGGCACAGTCTCTGCAGATATTACAGAGGAGAGCTCAGAATTGCTCTTGGTTCATTAGGCTTTGCCTGAGGGTTTTTCTTCCACTATTAACTACAAACAAGGTTCAGGTTCTTGTTACTCAGTTCCATGCACACAATGCAAAAAGGTGAAGGGCAAGGTTTGCAAAGAGCCATTTGTAAATATGCTAAGATGATTCGGACGTGCTTTTAGAATCCATCAGACGCTCCGCGCAGCACATCACCATCACCCTCGACAGCAGTGCAGAAAAGCTGTATTGATACGCCAACGTTTCTTCAGCAAGGAACTGTATACCCACAAGCATAGAGAGTCTGCCCATAAATATACACACCGTGCAACGCAATTCTCTTCCCCCTAGGCACTGACACGATGCTTCCCCACAGCCAGCCTCCTTCTCCCAGCTTTATGACCCCAATGAGATGAGCTCTCACTGTTTTCTTCCTCGTTACATTTTGATATTTCAAAGCATGGCCCGCTTCTCACTCCCATCTCCCTGCTCCACATTATTAATGAATTGGAAAGCAGACATCATTAGTTTTTGGAGACCATTTCTTTTAAAATTTACAGAACCCTTCATCTGAATCCCCAGAGCCAGTCTGCTGTTCTCATCTTAGAATCTTATTAGCATCATATCTTCTGTATCCTGCCATGCAAACTGCATTGCTATGCACTTTCTAGCACTTGACCCTTTTGCGGACGGAATTAATTTCCTCTTTGAAGATACAGCAGCATGCTGTTGTGCTTGTTAAAGAAAGAAAACTCAAGCAAGAAGATGAGGAAGGCAGAGAAGAATATTCTCAGTTCAGCATTGGCTACTGAAGGATTTTGTACAGGCAAGCTGAGAGAAAGGTTGGTCAGGAGAAAGAACAGGTTGATGACTCTTTATTACCAAAAGCGTGTTGCAAAAGAGCATGTGGATAAACCGCCTGACAATACTTGCTGGGAATTTTCATTTTCACTTCCACGGCGTGTTTCTTGTTGGCAGCGCTCTCTTCACCTGTGTCCCTCCACCCGCTTTCTGTGTATAACAGATCCTGAGACTTTCGGCTGTACAATTAATGCAAATGCTACAAAGAACCAGGGCTCGCATTCTGCTCAGCGCAACCACAACAGCAGCAAAAATACGTGCTGCAGCTGGAAAAAAATCTCCCCTACAATTATATTCTATTATAAAATAACTCCCCTACAATTATATTCTATTTAAAAGCCCCAAATATTGTATCACTAAAAGGCTTCCCACCTCAAAAAGCAAAACATTTCTATGAGAGGCGTAAACTGGAAAACTTAAAATGTTTCTCGGTCAGTTGGGAAGAAGTAACTCAAGTCCTGCACCCTGCTCTGTGTGGAA